AATCCACTGGATGAAATAGCGGAAGAACGTTGCCTCAGGAGAGTGAGGAAAATTCTCAGGGATGATTCACACCCTGGCCAGCACTTTCTTGATCTCCTGCCCTCAGGCAGAAGATATAGAAGCATGACTAGTCGCACCAACAGGGTAAAGAACAGCTTCTGCCCGTGGGCTGTTAGGCTGCTGAATGAAAAGATAACAACAGGGCAACTGACTTTCGGGTTTGGTGGGTGTGCGTCAGTAAGAGAGGGGAATTAAGACTAAGAGAGCTGAGTGGGGGGTGCTTGTGTAATCTCACTGTATACAAGTTGTACAAGTGACAATAAAGTATTTTAATTTAAATCTTGGCAGTGGAGGTGCTGGACGGTTGTCTTGCCTCAGTAATGGACTGGACAAGAGCCAACAAAATGAAGCTCAATCCAGAGAAGACTGAAGCACTGCCGGTGGGTGGTCTCCTAGACTGTATGGATGGGATATTGCTTGCTCTTTATGGGGTTACACTCCTTCTAAAGGAGCAGGTACACAGCTTGAGGGTACTTCTGGATTATTTGCTATTGCTTGAGGCTCAGCTCCTTTCATCAGCTTCTGCTGGTGGCCCTATCTGGACAGGGATAGCCTAACTACTGTCATATACACTCTAGCAACCTCTAGGTTACAGTCCTACCTTGGAAGTCAAACAGCTTGACTCATGAACGTCGCAAACCCGGATGGGACGGTTCTGGTTTGCAAACCCTTTTTGGAAGCTGAACGTCCAACGGGGCTTCCTCAGTTTCCAATTGGCTGCTGTGAGATACACAGGAGTCAGGAATAAGTACTGCATTCAGGTTTCATAGAGCAGAAACATACTGCTGCTTTGGGATGTAAATCAAGAATTGTTGAATTGTAAGGGATCCCAAGGGTCATCTAGCCCAACTCCCTAATTGTGGTGCTCAGTTGTGTATACCCAGCTTCCTCAACTGGTGCTACCCAGAGATGAAGACTCTATGACTAATTCTGCGAGTGCTCAGCTACTAACAGCATTTGATAGCTGCACATGGTAGCAGTAGGATTTATCTCATGCATTTTCCCTAAGTACACTTTGGTTATCTAAATTTCCCCTATTAGATATATCAATGCTCTTAAAACCTAATGAGACGGCAAAGACTGCCTACCCCCACATTTGCTATGATACACATAGCTCAAGACGTTAACAAACAAACAAAAAAACCACCTTAAAAAACCACCTGTTTTTGTTTCCTAGCACTATCATTGCTGGTAGTTTGGAGGAAATTCTTCACCAAATTGTTATCTGCTCTTTGTTGCCTATATGCCTACCTAAAAAAACCTTATTTGTAGTTTTACTAATATAATTCTATCCCTTTCATGTGTACAAATAAAGTCATTTTGTTATGCCATCTAGACCTATGTAATATTCCTCTCTTTCTATTGTTTTTAATGTCCTGTTAAATCTACAGGAGTGATGGAACACATTTACTACTCTGTTTACCTAGTGAAAGGTGAACATGTAATGCATGTCTTATTTTTATTTTGATAAATTTTCAATTGAAGGAATGGGTTTCCCAAAACCCAAAAACTGACTGTGCAGGCAGTTTTAAACTGCACCAAAATCCCTATTTTTCCTTAGCTAAAATGCATAAACTTGAGACATTGAGCAAATCCATAACAAGAACAAAGCTCTCTCCCTTATCAGTCCGTGGCGGCAATGAGTGACCTTGCCAAGTTCCAGAACAGCAGGGATGATGCATGTGTGCCTTATGTGCTGACCACAAACTCGCAGACCCACGTCTGGGAATAACGCCAAAGCGTGTTCCCGGAGATGGTGACCTGCGTCCCAGATAAGAGTAGGAAGAGGAAGATCCTTTTATGGTCAGAAGTACAGGAAGATTCTTTTATGGTTGAGAGTACCATAAAATGCTCCCCACTGTGGAAGTGCCATGGTCTGATCACTACGCTCTGAAAGCCAAGATTGACTTCCCGCTCCTCCCCTGCTCGGGTGGCAAACCTACTTGGGCTCGTCCGCAAAAACAGATGGATCCTGATAGATTCCGACAAGCCTTGCGGGACCCTGCTCCTCCTGGCGACTCATTAGATGACCTTGTTGAGGACTGGAATAACTGGCTCTTGGCAGCCATTGATGAGATCGCGCCTAAGCGCCCTCTGCGACCCCATCGAAACCGGGCCCCTTGGTTTACTGAGGAGCTCCGGAAAATGAAGCGGGATCTCAGACGGCTAGAGCAAGTATGGCGACGGACTCGTGACGGAGCCTCAAGAACATCTTATAGGACGCTTATGAAAGCCTTTGAGATGGCTATGAAAGCTGCTAAGAAATCTTACTTTGCAGCTTCCATTGCATCCGCTAGCTCTCGCTCGACACAACTTTTTAGAATAATTAGGTCAATAACGTCCTTAGGAGGACAACCAAATTTAAGCACAAATTCGACCCACAGCTGTGAGGCATTCGCGAGCTTTTTTGCGGAGAAAGTCCTGTTGCTCCGCCGTGACCTCCCTGCCAATTTAGATACAGTGACTGAACTGAAGGCCCCTCGACTGACTTCAGGTCCAGTGCTGGACCATTTCGATCAGATACTCCCTGCTGATGTGGATAGATTCCTCCAAGTTGGTAGGCCCACCACCTGCCTCCTTGATCCGTGCCCATCTTGGCTGATTAGGGAGTGTCCAGATGTTGCGCGGACCCCCCTGGTTGAAATTATCAATTTGTCCCTTGACACGGGGACATTCCCAGGGGAACTGAAGGTAGCAGTAGTGTGTCCACTCTTAAAGAAAATTTCATTAGATCCCTTAGACCTATCCAATTACCGCCCAGTTTCAAATCTTCCATATCTGGGTAAGGTAATTGAGAGAACGGTTGCTGAACAGCTTGGTAGGTTTCTGGAGGAAACATCGGCTTTAGATCCATTTCAGTCCGGTTTCCGTCCTGGTTTTGGGACCGAGGCTCTGGTTGCCCTCACAGATGATCTCCGTAGACAACTGGATCGAGGCGGGTCAGGACTGCTGATCCTTTTAGATTTGTCAGCAGCCTTTGACATGGTCGATCATGATCTTCTGGACCACCGCCTTGCAGACGTGGGGATACAGGGCATAGCCCGTAACTGGCTGTGCTCTTTTATCTCTGGTCGGGGACAGAGGGTGGCACTAGGGAGGGAAATGTCGTCGCGCCACTCCTTCCTTGGTGTGTGGAGTGCCGCAGGGCGCAATTCTCTCCCCGATCCTTTTTAACATCTTTATGCGCCCCCTTGCCCAGATTATCTGGAGCTTTGGGCTGGGCTGTCACCAATATGCTGATGACACTCAGCTCTATCTGCTGATGGATGGCCACACCGACTCGGCCCTGAACACACTGACCAGATGCTTGGAAGCTGTGGCTGGATGGTTTCGTGGGAGCCGATTGAAACTAAATCCTTTGAAGACAAGAGGTCCTATGGCTGGGTCGGGATGGCATGGGGATGAGGGACCAACTCCCTTCTCTTGCGGGGGCCCAATTAGTGCCATTGCCTTCCGTTAAGAGTTTGGGTGTAATCCTTGACGCCTCCCTTTCCATGGAGGCGCAAGTTACAGCAACAGCCAAGGCGACATTTTTCCACCTTTGCCGCATCAAGCAGTTGGTCCCTTACCTCTCCCGCCCCAACCTGGCCACAGTGATCCATGCGATGGTCATCGCCAGGCTTGACTACTGTAATTCGCTCTACGCGGGGCTGCCCTTGAAGCTGACCCAGAAACTCCAGAGGGTGCAGAATGCTGCAGCGAGGCTCCTCACGGGAGCATATTCACCCAGTGCTTTTCAAACTGCACTGGCTCCCGGTAAAGTACAGGGTCAGATTTAAGGTGCTGGTTTTGACCTTTAAAGCCCTTCACGGCCTAGGACCTTCGTACCTACGGGACCACCTCTCCCGGTATGCCCCACGGAGAGCCTCAAGGTCCATAAATAGCAACACCCTAGTGGTCCCGGGCCCTAAGGAAGTTAGATTGGTTTCAACCAGAGCCAGGGCCTTTTCAACTCTGGCTCCGGCCTGGTGGAATGCTCTGCCTCATGAGACCAGAGCCCTGCAGGATCTGATTTCTTTCTGCAGGGCCTGTAAGACAGAGTTGTTCCGCCTGGCCTTTGGCTTGGAGCCAATTTTATTCCCTCCCTCCCTTTCTTTCTTTTTTCCTTTCCTTCTCCTCCTGCGATGAGGCTACATTTTAATGTTTCCATATTTTAATGTTGTATTTTAATTTTGTTTTTAAGTTGTAATCATTCAATTTGTTTTTATTATTGCTTGTAAGCCGCTCTGAGCCCGGCCTTGGCTGGGGAGGGCAGGGTATAAATAAATATTATTATTATTATTAATTATTATTATTATTATTATTATTATTATTATTATTATTATTATTATTATTACCAGAGTAGGAACATATGTGATGTCAACCTGCGTACGTAGGCCGACGTGTTTGGGCTCCTAGGGGAGGAGTGAGAGGGTGCCTGGAGGATATATAAACTGCATGAAACCTGTCATTTCTTTGGACTTGATCACGCAAGTGCCTTCTGCTAACCGGAGAGCAGAATAAACTCTTTCTTTGAACCAACTCGGTGTCATTTGACTTCCTTCCTCCTGTCCCGGAGCAACACAGACCCAATCAGTGAACTCCAATAAGGCTACACAATCAACTTGCTCTTAGTGTTTGGTAAGCTGCTTAGGTCTTTGTTGATTTAGTATATATTACCAACAGCTGAGGCTTTCCCATTCCAGCAGTTAAATAGCAGTCAAGTTGGCTGTTTCTATACAGCAGCAGAAGCTGATGAAGACTAAAAACTGTCACCAATAGGTACCATAACCTGCGACTGTTTCCATTTTCTCTCTCAAGCTACTTTGTTCAACAGGTGTCATGTTTCATTCCTAGTAAGAACCGCTTCATATTTCACAACCACAATCTTATTAAATACTGTACACTTTAATTGTTTAAAACGCCATATACTTTGCATAAACATAATACACAAGGCAGACTTAAGCTTTCATAAAAATGCACTTTATTTTTCTTCAATACAAGGTAACTTCTTTTGCAGTTTAAAGACCAATAAATGGTTGGACAGCAAATTCCTAATAGTTGCCTAAAGACTGGAAGGAAAGGTAATTTAAAATATATGGAAGTGAAAAGAATTTTGACAAGCCAAAGTTTTGAGATGGAGTTGGCATTTTTAAAAATAAAAAATCACATATGCTAATGTGAAAGGACACCCTCTTCTTACCTTCTGAAGACATTTGAGTGTCCAGAAACTCAACACTACCAAGATGTTCTTTGAGCCTTCAGGTATTAGAAAGGCATTGCCCATTAAAAAAAAGGTTTGCTTGCATACCAATAAACCTAAAACCTGTAATGTAAGCAACTGTTTACAAACTATAGCAAATGGTATTATTATTCTTTATTTGCGAGTACACATTTGGGCAAAACTTAATGTAGTGAAACCCAACCAAAATCACGTAAAAATCTTTAAGGGAACATAGTTGTTCCACAGGCACTCTGGAAAATAAAACACTGACAAAAATGAATTTTAAATGCAATACACTTGCAATGAATAAACGTAAACCACTGTATTAAATTTATAAAGTTAATCAGAAAAAAACCTATTAATGTGAAATTCATTCCCAAAGAAGAGTGTACAACATGCTACTCTCAGTGGTGACTTGGGTTATTATTTTAGCTGAAGGTTTTGAAAATGATGTTAGTACGTTCAAGTACTGAAGTGAGAAACTGTCCCTAATGTGGTGTCAGAAAACTCACCCATTTAATGCTACTTGTATAAGACGAGATCACAGATGTGCCCAGACGTGTTTTAGTGCTAGATCCTCCTCCATTACAGCCAAATAGAATTTGGATGCTGAATAGGCTTTTGGATACAAGGGATGTCTCTAACACCAGTCATATTCAGAGAAGATTCATTGACATCAATGAACATTACTGATTTTTGGTCCATTAATTTGCAATGGGCCTACTCTTGAGTAGAGCTTTGGTTGGATACAACACAAAGTTTCTCAGCTGACAGAAACTAGATCACCTGATGATGGTTGACTAAACCTGGTTTTCAACTGGATATTGAGCCAAAAAATGCTTGAAAGCTAAGCTATTTAAATAGTACACAGTACATTATTATAGGTAGTGGCATTCTTTTTGTTTCAAGTTAAAAGTTGACAACTACAAAGAGAGAGAGAGAGAGCAGCTTGAAATGAGATTCATGGATTCTAGGATATGTATGTGATTGCTCCTGTGTGTGTATAAAATTATAAGGAGCACTAAAGTCCAATATATAAAATACTCCTAACATGTTAAAGCATCTTGCTTGTTTCCTCCCTTCTAAAAATCAGGTTTTTAATAATTTTCTTATTTTCAAAAACTCCAGTCTATTCTACTAACATGTTTCTCAGATTACTAAAAACTATGAATATTTCAAACATTAGAAAATTGTAAATTTTACAGAGGATGCTTAATGCTGTAACTTTTTAAAGCTGCATTTTAAGGCTATATGTTCTCTGCATCATTAAATACCTACCACGTAAACAGTGTGACTAAGATCCTATATATAAAACTTGGAAAAGTTTGCTTAAACTGTAAATGAGTGAAAAATGAAAGCTTGTCCAATATTTACATGGATTTTTTAACTGAAGTCAATCAATACACAGGGCATTTAAAGCTTGCCTTTCATGTTATTGGAGAAAGCACTCAAATATACAACTAAATAGACAGTGAATAGTCAAAGGTTATTTTGGTTTGCAGTGCCAATTGTAATCTCTAGTTAGTATCAGAAATAGTAACTTCTGCAACACTGCACAACATTGCAAACTTATATTACAATACCACTGTGGGCAGATGTCAGCACAACTATCCAGGAGGAGGCCACCAGTCAGATAATTTATTTTAAAATAGCCATTAATGCTATCACTTTTATCTATTAAAACCTATATACAGATTATTAAGTACCTCCTAAAGTTTATTTACATTTTCTTAACAGAAACAGATTTAATATAGCCACCAAAGCCCACTACAGTAGCAACCAAGACACTACTCAGATTTTATTTTACTATCTGGTAGCTATTTACAATATTATTTCATCAGGAGCATTGTTTATCAGGCTGAAGATAAATGCCCAAACTTCTTTCTAGAGATTATCACAAGTAAAATGCTTTCACTTTTTTTGTCTAAACATCTTTGGACTCCTTTTTAAAAAAAATACTGAGAAAACTGAGAAGAGTTCTTGAGAAAACAAGTTTTACTCACAAGACAACTACTACGACTCTTTACTACTTACACAAGTTAAATGTTCAGCCTACACATATCAAAAAGTTATTTCATGGTTTGATTTTTGGCAGCTCCATTGCCAGCAATGGAAATCGCTATAGGAGAAAATGTAAGACAATGAATACACAACAGTATCTCCGGGGTTCATACAGAAAGCTAAATTATGACTTTAAATTATTTTAATTTTGGTTACTGAATATTTGAAATTACTACTCAAATAGCATTTGCACGCCTAACTTACCTGTTTTTCCTCCATCTTGAGCCATTTCCAGTACAATTTAATCCAGATTGTCTGCCCACATCCCAGCTAGTTAAAAGCAATACTACATTGGATTTCTTAAGAGTTGGAACAACCACCCCAACATGGACATACAATAGCAAGGTACTGCAGCAACATCCAATTTCCTGATTATCTGGAGTTATCATAGACAGAACTCACATTCATCCCTGCACAAAGCAAACAACCCCAATGTATACATTATCAGGTTTTGTAGGACTAAAAATTCATGCAAATGAGAAATCCCTGATATTTTGCTTCACTTCACTTTGATTTCTGTGTATAATCAAACCCAAGAGTAAAATGAATTTAGGCGTTATTGTCAGATAAACAGTTGTGTAAAGCACTGTGGGTTCAAAATAATATTTCAAAGTAAGCCCAACATCTCACATAAGAAACGTGGCAAATTAGGAAATCTATTAACAAAGCATGAATGGACCATAAGAAAACTTTCAGCGTACAAAATGGCTAATAGTTAAAATAACCATCTACTCCAGTTATTAAACACAAGTCAAACAATATTGGCCAGGAAAGAGTAAATCAGCTGCATTGACCTGAGCTGTGCAAATGTCAAGCGGATTCTTTCAACTATATAAATTTTTAGTTGTATTGGGATACAGCCTTTGAGACGGTAACTTGAGTGCTTCCATGTTTAGTAAGACACAAACTGTGATTTTATACATGTCTCTAAGGTCTGACTGATACACTGTGTCTTTGTTATACAGTTAAAATATTTTATATGTACACCTAAATAAGGAAAGTGGGAATGTGACGAACGTTTGTAAACACATCTATTACACAAGTGCACTGGCTAGGAAGTTGGGATTGGTCACGGTTCTGTTAAGGGTATGCTTGATGGTAAACTTGAGTTTGATATTAAAACATATAAAGTGGTCTTCATTTAATTTAATATCCAAGTATTCGTATACCACAAGTAATTTTACTGAGTATTACATGTCATAATGCTTCAAATATTTGATCAACAAACTTTTAAAACTATAATTGAAATAATTAGAAAGTAGGCAGGAACTAGCAAAATTTGGAAAAAGAAGTATTTTTAAAAGAAAACAGTCCACAATCAAGCAACATGTGCTAAACCTATGATTAAAATGTGCTCTCTTTAGTTTGTGGGGTGCATTAGATCACAAACTATTTGTTAGGGCAAATTATTACACTATTAGTTATACAAAGGATATGTATGCATTTTCTTTTTATGGACAGGAAATTTTGTTGTTCAAAAAAGCTTGTTTGAAATCTTGATTATTATTTTTAAGGAGAAACATTTTCTTCAGTTAACTGGCATATATATCTAGGTACAGAATGACTAGTGCTCTAGAGGCAGGACACAGCATTAGCACTAAAAACTGTAAATTATTGCAGCATTATTTAAAAGTGGCCAATTGTATGCTTGAACCAAGTATTGAGTGTTGCATATTGCAACAGACAGGCTTCAGTAAACCAGAATTCAACTTCAGACTTCATATTCTTTAAAGAAAGTTCAGTCTATTTGAATTATTACAGAATGTTAATCTACAGTTTTTACAGATTTGCGCACCTTTCAGCAAATTCACAAGCCATCTATGCAAAAAAGCTACAAATTAAAATAAAATGTAACCATTATTCTAGTATCAATATCAAGTGTTTGACAACTGCTAATCATTCAGCAAATACAACAAGTTGATGCATATGCAAAAAATATGCTATGTTTTGTTAGAGACATTGTTATAACACCATTAAATATTGCTGAACACAAGACGCTCCCTGAGGTGTAAACATCAAATAACTTGGAACAGCTTTACACATCAGCCCCATTAAACAGTTTATTACAACACTACATCTATTGTAATCAGATTGATGCTCTTTACAGACATTATCATTTGAACATTTAAACAAGAACTACTATAAAAACAAGCATTTACTAGACTTTTTTCAATTGCTTGCACATTTTAATTGTCAAATGTATATAACCAGTAATAAAGTTGCAAAAAGCTATACGTTTTAAATCACACAGGTTCCTTCAAATAAAACAGCTAAGCAACATAAAAAGGTAAGAGAGCTACTGGTTACCATGTATGCAGATTTGCCTTATTCAGATCTATTCCTGTTCATTTTATCCATGAATCTTTACAGGCTCTGTTCGATCACAAGAAGCAAACTGCTGGACAAGCCTCTTTCCGTGAAGTTAAGTTTCTTGTCTGGTGAGGTGTTCCTCTTCCTTCAGCTGTAATGTGTCAAAATTTGTGATGTAGATTTTGCTACGTCCCACAGCAAACAAAAAATGTTGGTTTAACTATACATACACAAATCGTGCACCAATTTCAGCATAATGGAAATGTAAATAATGAGACCACTGCTACTGGCTCGAAAATAATCTAAACTACAGCTTTCAAGAAAGCAGTCCAAAGATTTACAGCAATGCAGAAAAAAATTAATCATTGGCAGCATTCAGATGTCATACTAAATCATTAGTTCAGTATGACATGAAAGTGTCTAGGTAAGCCTAGAATAATAGATCAGAAGAGTTCACTTCCACCTTTACTTAAGCAGTTTTGCCATTTCACCCTAACACACTTAACTACAATTGTTTCACACTGGCTTGTTTCAAAAAAGCCAATGGAAAACCATAATTTGTCAGTTTGGATAGAATGGCAAAGTGTGCTATGCAAAAGTGGAAACCTTTACATTTCCCCTTCTGACCGTGTGGTAGAGATTTGGGGGGGGGGAGTGTGCATGGGCCTGAGGCTTGCCTAGATTTATTCACATCACACTGAAGTGTGGTTTAGTTTGGCACCCAAGCACAGCCATTGATAAATACAGAAAATGTTCCATTTTACAAAACTAGTAAAGAGGAACATTTCCTCTGCTCAAAAATAAGAAAAAACAAAGGATAATGCGGTAGCCAAATTGGTGTATTACATTAGTTTTAGCTGAAAGATCATAAATGAAGCTATGCAACAGCTAAATAGCACACAAAAAATGTAAGCCAGAACTTTATCACAAAAATAAATTGTTACATTGATCTCACCCTTTTGTCCACATTCAGTATTGAATAACTAGTGGAAGCCAGAGAGGCAGCAAATAACAGATTCATATACGCAAATATAAATGTGAAAAAAATGAGATATGGTTCAGTTTGGTGCATGGCTGGAGGTAATAGGTGACCAGCTTTTACTTGGTTAGAATCTCCCTGAGGATGTTTATAGCCAACAGCCACATTAGTGATTGCCATTCTTTGGAATGTTTAGACCAGTTCAAATACTGTCACTCTTTTATAGCAAGAGATCTGTACAATTTCATCCTATATAACTATTAGCGTCTTTCTGTGCTTAGGAAGAGACATTGATGAAGTTTTCATGGGATGCAAGCTACACTAAAATCAATGGCCAGGATCCAAAAAGCTATTTTAGGCAACCCCAAGGGCTTGTTTATACTTTTTTTTTTAAACCCACTTTGAGCTGCAGACCTCATGCTATAACACAAACATTTTTGAAATCTCCCGGTTTCCAAAAAAACTTGCCCCACTGAACAGAGTGAAGGGATGGTGATGTGGGGGGCAGGAACCCAAGTTCAAAGCCACCTTTCAGAGTTCTTTGGATCTTGGCCAATGAGATTAAAGGAAGCTCCACACTTTCTAAAATTGACATTACTGCTGCATATACTACCACCATTACTCTTAGGAAACAAAGTACAGTCATGCCTTGGTTTTTAAACAGAATGCGTTCCGTAAGTCCGTTCGACTTCTGAAATGTTTGGAAACCAAGGCGTGGCTTCCGATTGGCTGCAGGAGCATCCTGCAGCCAATCAGAAGTCACGCCGGACATTCGGCTTCCGAGGCAAAGTTCACAAACTGGAACACCTACTTCCAGGTTTGCGATGTTTGAGTTCCAAGTTGTTTGTGAACTAAGCTGTTCAAAAACCAAGGTATGACTGTATGGATAACATACCTGCATCTCAGATTACCCATACCTGTGCACCAGGGTTTCTTTAGATGCAGGTTAATACATACATACTGGAAAGCAAGTAGTACCTACAGCAGTCATGCCTGCAGAGCCTTCCTTAAGAACATTATGCCAAAGATATGAGGAGGGGTAAACAGTTACGTATTAAAAACCATCACGTTGAAGAATCAAACTGCTTATGTAAAAAACCACAGTAAATAGATAATAGCTCATATATGCACAAACATTACTCAGATAACTTTAAACATACATTTTCCATTCCCAACTTTATTTAGAAGCTAGCTCCACTAATTTCAATGGTGCTTACACCCAAGTAAGAGTGCAGCCTTAAACTCTACGCACTCTTCCTCAGTAGTAAGCCATGTTGAACCCAATGGAACATACTTCCAGAAAGAAATGGGTTTAGGATAATGCAAAACTTTTAATAACTACAATGCAGTAAGTTATTTTTCAGTGGTTCACATCTACTTCCAAAAGCTTTTAAAATAGCTTAAAATCAAATTTGCAAAGAAGCACATCAATAAGTCATTTCAAATTCAGGCATATTAATATAGTCAGAACGCGTAGCAGTATGCAGCTGTCATAAGGTCACCCTTAGTAAAAAGAAACAAAAACAATTTAGATTAGAAAACAAATTTATGATAATAATGAGAACTTCAGAAGTTTTCCTCTTCCCACATATTGTTTTTAATAAAGTCTAGGCTATATAACTAATCAATATGCAGGATTAAGATAATTTCTTTAGTTTCTCAAGTATTCAGTAATGACTAAGTATTCTGCTTTTTGACATCACCAAATCCTTAGTTCTTTTAAAGCTGCCTTTTAACAGTAAGGCAATATTGTTCTTTAGTAGCAGCCAACTGAAAAACAAGTTGGTAGTGCACTTCACTTTCAGAAGAGTGAAATGACAGCTGCAAAACTGCATATTAGGATTTCCCACTCTTGCAACACTCTTATATTCTGTTGGTATTAAGTGTCTTTACTGCTTCTAAAGGAATTCTGAACAAGAGAAAAGAATTTCATTGTTGTACCATAATGTGCTATGTGTCTGTAGCAGTTTTCATTTGAGACAGTAAATACATTTTTTAAATGACTGTCAATACAAGAAATTTTAGGTTTCATTATGTGGAAAATATCTTAGGGATTATCATGAATTGATACACATTCTGTTCTTTTAAAGGATTTTAACATAAATAAATTAGTGAAGACTCACTGAATTCCATTGCAGTAATCTATAATAGCTACACCCAAATGAATGGTATAATACAAAATAGGCTACAAGCATAAATTCTTTTTGCAGTGATTTAGGCAAGGAGTTAATAGCTTTACATGAATATTGCTATTCAGTGAAGTTGTTCTAATATGAGTTTTGTAGGAAAACAGTCTCCTTTCTTCACAAAGTATAGTCCCTTATCTAAAATCAAATTATAAATTTTAAATTATAGAACATTTTAATTTACATTTTAATTGGGTGAATGTGTTCACAGGGTAACTTTTCTCTGCTGCGATATGCAGATAGAAGCTGTAAAAGCAATAACCTTTTTTGCTATTCAAAGGGATGTGCAATTAACATCACTAAACAGCAATAAAACCCTAGCTACTCCTTTGAGTACCTAAGCAATCATTATTACTAAATCACCTCAATGAAGATATAAAAATAAGCTCGGTTTAGGAACTGGAAGTAAGATCATATGCATCTCCTCACCCCTCCCAGCCAATTCCTTGTCTTACATCAATTCCCCCCCTCACTGTAATCTACGTTAGCAATGACCATTTGTAACACCAAACCTAGGTAAATGAATCATCCTTGTGCTCCAAAAGTCACCTGAGAACACTGATTAAATTAGGTTGTCAAAAATGAGTTGAAGAGTGTCCTCTGCACTGGCAACAATCTAGGTCTGTAGGCCAAATACAGAGAAGAGGCAGGGGAAAATTCATGCAAGGTGAAGGACACTGATGGCCCACACACAACCCCTAAACCTAGTTTATTTTTATATCTGCAGGAGAATGAATTTCCCTTTTATCTTATTCACTAAGTTCAAAGTCCATAGCTGTAAATCAAACTTTATACAAATAAGACTAACATTCATATTATAACACAAGAACTTAGGCGTGTATCCAATGCTACACCAGCAGCGTTCTGCTGGCACAATGGAACTTCTACTTCTCCTCAACCCCCAATCTGCTCTGTGGGTCCCCTAACTCTCCAGATATGAGTTTGAGGGTGGATGGGTATGGAGGGGACAAGTTAGAAAGAGAGACTTTGTTGTGTGGCAGAAGTCCATTGCACCAGCAGAGCTGCAGCGCTGGACACAAATCTTGTTTTTCAATCATACACTGATGCAACAACTTGAAATTGCAAGTCAATATTCTGTGACTCTTTAGATTTGCACTTTTATTTACAACAAGCTACTTTTCTAATAACTAGTCTTTCATATTTTGGCATCTCTCCCCCTGCAACTATTGTGCTTAATATGTGTATCGGTCTAACCTTAACACTCAACAGCATCTTAGGGGTGTGTGGGGAAATGCATTCAACCGATTCCCCAGCTGCTTAAGCTTTCATAAAACCATATCTTATTACTCAATTTATTAACTAGACACAGCAAAAAAATTATTAAACTAGGCACAGTAAAATCTATCAATTTAGTGTTGTGTGTTCCAAGTGAAAAAATGTGCTAATCTGCCTAATAAATTTGTATCACAGTTCTGAAGCTACTTCCACTTACTCTCGTAACAGGAATTTTGCAGATTTGTAGCATTACAATACATTTAGTCAGAAATGAACATTATTTAAACCCTTAGTAGTGACAACCCAGTTCAATGCACAAAAATACTCTCATTAAGGGTTTGCTATAAAAGCCACTTTCCCTTTTGCATATGTCACAATTTAGATATAGTCTACTTTATATATATATGTTCACACTGAGGCATGACAAAGACTAGTATAACTCAGACTGCAACAAGTAAAATGGTGAATACACAAGTTTCTTTGTTAAAAAAAAAAACACAATTTGTTCTCAAACCACAATAAACAAGAGTTTCAGGCCAGGTCACTTCCCAAATAAGGTTTCCCAACAACTTCAATACCCTGCCATCACAAAAATTAAGCCACTTCAAACCAGAAAGGATTGAGGGTCTTCAATACAGCTTCTTGTACATCTACTGAACAAAGTAATTTGTACTAACTAACGATTATGAAAAACAGACAATGAGGAAACTGGATTTTCATGAAGCCCATAACACAAATTTAACAGCAAATTTTAACACATTGGGGATTTATGCACTGTACCAGTAAGTACTTATTTCTTTCACAATTAACACTAAAAATTTGTCAGAAATGGTAGATGGTTTTATCTGCATAATGAATTATTTACTGTGCAAATGCAATTTGTAACCTATGAGCTCCAAATAGCAGCAGTGCAATCAATACTATAAATAAATGTGTTACAGCAAAAATGATGTTGAACCATATGGCCTCCTACAATGAGTTTCAAAAAACAATGTGAGTTTCAAATACAAATAGCAACATGTATTTTAGGAATGAAGATTTTTAAACCAAGGAAAATATTCTGGATTATAACAGGGAGAAAGAGAAACATAGCCCTTGCTGTTTTGTCACTTTGCAAATAAACCTTTCTAACCTTTTTAGAATAATCACTGCCTCTTTAAAAAGCGGTAGTAATACAGTGGTACCTCGGGTTAAGAAGTTAATTCGTTCTGGAGGTCTGTATCGACTAGTCCAGCAGAGGTGCCCGTCTATATAAAAGTAGGACTTACTAGTCTCATGAACAGAAACTTCCTCATAATATTGTTGCATTCATTTGATACACAACATATAATTGCCCTATTTCAATGCCTTAATGTGTATAGAGTGTATGCACAGTGCAAAGTGGGACTGGAGTGGTGTGACCTTCACTGCTTGTTTTTGAGAGGCTGGGATCTCACAGATTTGACCTATGGGCTTAGATTTCATACCTGCATAATGTCCAATGAGTGGATGGAAGGTGGGCTCAGGAAAGGTAAACCATGTTTACAAACACTACATATTTTCAACACACATCACAGGGTGTGAACAGGAGCATTCACTCAATTACCTCTCATGATCACAGACTTGTAACAATATTTTTTCAGTATTCTTACTACACATATAAAAGACAGCTTGTGAACACACTTAAAAAAGAACATCAAATCACTTTTTATACAAACCGGCCTCTTGGTTGGCACACTAAAACAACTCTTAGCATTTGAAGAGTTTTGCTTATGGTGGTTTGAGAACAGAATACAGAAAAGTGTTATGTCAAAAAAGGGGCTCAAACTCAACATACAGGTCAATCAACATTAGGGTGCTTCATTCTTTTTCAATTCCATACCAATCTACTTTGACTTTAAAAACTTTAATAACCACAAATTAACAAATAGTATGTAGCATTTAGACTTCTAAAAACTGACAGTTTAGCTGATGTATTATTTTATTCACATCAGAGCCTAAGATCAATCATTATGAATTTCCTACAGAAGAGCACTTGCTTAGAATAAAGCATGAGATCAGTATGTACCTTATCGCATGTGATTATTTAGTTTTCATGTCTGAAGCAGTCCTAAGATTGTTACTGTTCTATCGCTACACATTCAACCTTTGCTGCTAACGTTTGCTCTAAATATGACCCAACACAAACATGTTCATGATCTGCTTGTGGTTTGCACATAAGTTGCCAAAATTTCTAGCAGATCAGTACAAGAAAATAGGTACATCTGAAAATATTCACAATTTTCTTGTACTTTTATATTGACATTATACAAAAGACGTAACAAAAAATGATAAGAGTTTCATGAACACGTTCAAAATAACCCAATAGCTAGAAATATGTTGTCAATTCCACACATCATGAAGTATAAGCATATTAAAGGAAGAGAAACCCCACTATGGGATCATTCAGTGCACCATTCAATAACCACCAAACAAGAAGGATGGAATGGTACATCTGATTTCAGAGACTCATCTCATGTCTATGAATATACTAAGTGAGGGTGACAATGGATTGGATCCAAAATATTGTGAGGGAAAACAACATGCATTTGCACTGTTCCATGGACTTTCTTGCAAAATAAGTAGTGCAAAACTTCTCACAGTGCTCCCCAATGTGACTGATCAAAATATCTGACTGTTCCACTACAGATAAAATTTAGTGAATTGCTACAAATATTCAACAATAAATTCTACTTCGGGTTGGATTTGGAGAAATGTGTAAATAATGGGGCTGGTGGAAGATGACCCTCTCCACCCTCTGCCACCCCCCACCCCAGGCTCCCCTGCCAGTTGTGGGATATTTTGCAATGGAATAGGTTGTGGCGTGGGGGGCAGAGAGGAAAGAGGGAGCCCAGTAATCTGGGCAGAAGTAACCTTCATAAGCAAAAACTTCCACTTACAAAGTTGTCTCTGCCTGTTTTTTGGACCCAGCTTGTCATGCTAGAACTCACCCCATTCAGTGATGACCCTTGACCCCTTCCCACAAGGGGTGGGGTGGAAGCTTCCACCAGCTATGATACATGGACATTTCTCTGGATTCAACCCTTCATAAACTACCTTCACATCATTCACCAATTCAACAAATAATAGGGAGAAAAGTTGTGTCATTCTGCTGCCGGAAGCACAGCATATCTACTTAAATCTTTAGTCACTAGAGAACACAGACAATTATTCATAAGATTATAAGCAATAAAGTGACTAGCTTGCACAACAGTGTCTAGTTTAAAAGGGGCATAGATGTGGGTAAAAATCAACTTATGATTTTCAAATTTTCACCTTTACCCTTCCAATGTTATAAAAGTATAATCTTTAAGACAGTGTAACGGAATTTTAGACGAACATACAAATTGGAATGCAAAGTTGTATCTCTCACATAAGTAGTGAAAAATAAACCTTATAAGCTTAACTGTGTGTTTGTGTGTGTCTATAAAAGTAAATTAAGGTAACTGTTCTATGGTCACCTCAGAATATGACTGTTTCCTCAACTTTCTTTATATTAATTTTGCACCATATAGCACAGATTGTACAAGTACAATAAGTACATGAAATTTAAAGCTTTGCCCAAAATAAACATCTACAAGAGAACACAGGTTTTACTTTACAGAAACAAAAGATCATTTTAAGGAACTTTTTTTTTTTTACAGTGATGTGATTAAAACACAACACTTCATTTAAATCCTATCTCCTTTTAGCAGACATTTAGCATCCCAATGTCTTTTCAAATCAAAATCAAATACTGCTTATTTTGTTATGGGACCAATTTGACTTATATCCATCTGTGTAGCATACAAGTACACAAACATGAAAATGTATCTATTCTAAAACAAAACCCAACACTGCTTTAGGGTTTTAACATTCCACGGTTCTTCAATCACCCTCACAATACCCTAGTATTCATGCAAATTAATTCCTCCAGAGTTAAAAGATTGGGACATCAAATTTTATGCTTAGAAATGATGGTGTATACTGGTCTGTGACTGTGAAGGTAATTTCATATTTCTGGTACTGATTTCTAAACATGTAACACATTCTTTTGGTTTTAAGTGTCTGTGATAAGAACTCCCATCATCAAATTGAAGATTCCCATTGTTACCATATGGGCAATGTCATCACTGATTATAACCAAAGAAAATGTATTCTGTCTTAACAGTAACATCAAGAGTTAATGAGAAAAGCTTGGATGTGCTATAAATTGTGTAACTGAAAGGTTTATTTAAAATAGTAATTTCAGCTTCATGCTAATTATAAAACTCAAAGGACACAAAATATTTTAGACCAATTATAAAACTTATTCAAAACTATTATGTTTTCCTTTTAAGTGACACCTAGGCCAGGACCCAAAGCTATACTTTAGAAGCCTAATGGAATGGGCAGGCCAGTGGGATTTTTGTTTTTCTTTTAAAAGCAAACCACCCATACCATAAAAAGGGCTTGCCATATCACATTAGGAGGCTACTGTAACAAGAAAGAAATTTAAAGCTACTCCCCCTTGGAAATGCATTAGTATTTTCCTTTGAATCTTGGTACTAGGCTTTCCAATAAAAAAAAAATACAAAACAGCTAGAACTTCATTCAATATCTATTAATTTGAATATGCAACTGTATAACCTGCATTCTGGAAACTACAATTAAGAGGAACAGGAAAACCTAGCGTAACAGCCACACACAAACCTATCAAATGTGGGTTTGATGTATATTGTGGGCAACTGAAAATGGGCTATGATCCATGTGTTAAATAATCCATAAAGTTGAAATATACAGGAATTTAGGTACAGATTACATGATTTGTGTAATCTTATTTCCTCTTACTATGATTAATATAAAACAAAGGCCCAATGCTTGGATTAAAGCAATTTAAAATAGACTTGTGGGCTAACTATGTGATTCTGTTTCAAATAATACAGCACCTCATAGGACTATATACTAGACTCCACTATCAGTGCAATTTCACAACATGTTGCACTACAATAGTGGCGGCAATTTACCCCAGTCACTAGTGCCATCAAAAACCTTCCCAGTAGCCACCTTTGGCATGTTGTTACCATGCAAAGATATATGTAGGCAAGACCACTGTGCTAAATGACACCCCAAAGCCTGAAAGAAAGTTCATGTAAATTTGAACTGCTAAATTTAATGAGTACCAGGCTGCCATTAAAACAGCAAAATCACACAAACACATTTCACACACCAGAAGGTATTTTTTCAGTTAGCAATGGGAGGGAGGGAGAAGAGAAATGACAAGATATTAACACTTACCTGAATGTAACATCAACATCAGGAAAGTGTTCAATATAACATACCATAAACCTTTATTCTATAAAACTATAAAAAGTTTTTAAAAGCCTCATTAAAAGAGGAATATACCTACCTCTTAACGATGACGATACTCTCGCTCTCTATCGCGCTCTCTGTCGCGGTCTCTATCGCGATCACGATGTCTCTCACGTTCACGGCTTCTTTCCCGGTAATAATCATCATGACGATCTCTGCTACGAGATTTGTGGCGCCGGCTCTTCTCTCTTGATCTGCTATGGTCTCTCTCTCTTGATCGCTCACGTCTTCTAAAAGGAATTACTTCATTAATTCTCTCAAATTGCAACATTTTGCTGCGATAAACACAACACACTGAATTTGTTTGCTTCCTTTGGTATGAAGAACCCTGTCTCGATACAAAGAAACTGTTTAGATGAACTCTGGCAATTAGGTTCACTGTGATATTATCATCAAGTAATAGTTCTGCTGCTAATGTTGTTTATATGATTTCATGACTTTTATTCTATTTTTGTCTTTTAAATCTCGAAGCTATGTTAGGAGCCTTTGCAAAGCAAAAAGGCAGGACAGGAAATTCCTTTAATGATAGTGTGGTACAGGTATTTAGAATTGAAATTTATTCCATTCCAAGTCCAGCTGATGTTCAAGATAATGGAATTTCTATGCTTTTCCTACTCTTAACTTTCCTACCAGCTATTGTAATTTGAGTCCCTCATTGATAAAAGTCACTTTAAGAACTTACAATGGTTTTTTCAACAGTTTAATTAGGTTTTAAGATACTGTGAAGTTGTTCAACCGTGGTTTCATTAGACACTAACCTTCCAATTACATCTGCATTTTCCTAACCATGAAATTAAGCTTTACAAAAACTAGAGCTACATCTAGTTAATTATTTTAAGTGATATCCAAGTCACACACTGAATAGACCCACTAAAATCCATAGACTTAAGTACATTGCATGACTTAAATAGGTCTGTTCCCTAATATAACCCCACAACTCTTATCTGGAACTTTATTCAAAACTTTCCCCCATTTTTATACAAAAGGTTTACCTTGACCCAGAACCATAAGACTTGGACTCAATTCCATGGAGGCAATCTTGCAGAGAGCTAATAAGTACTTTGCAACGATCATCAGCAGATACTTTGGACTGTTTAATTAATGAAATTGCAGTCACCAAGGTTTCTATAGCACTTCCATACTCCGCTGAAAATTGATAAAACAATGTGAGTGAACAGTTTAATTAATCCTTAACATCAGAATATCCCTTCCCATTGTCCAGCCTTCTTCAACTGTTCAAACATAGATTGTTCAACTTCATACTGACCTGGTCCGCACATTACAATAAGCCACAGTTTAAAAATAAACTACGGCTTAATGTGAACAAGTAGTGTGTGAGTAAAAGCTCCCATGACACCCTTCCCCTACTTCCCCAGCTGCCATGCCACAGACAAAACAAACTAGACTCTTTTGACTTGTCACATTGCCTAAACTTGGGCTCATGATTTGCTTCTCACTGAATGAACCACAAGCAACATGACAAGCCCAACACTTGCTTGTTTCATCTGTGGTGGTGTAGTAGCAAAAGTGGAAAAGAGGAATGCCACAGGAACTTTTGAGCAGCGTGTACCAGCATGCTGCTTGTTCATATTAAACCAGTTTCAAACGATGGTTTAATGTGATGGGTGAGCTAGACTACTATAGCAGGAGGCTAATATGATGAAATAGTCCTCCATACAGTATGTGACCATCTACATTAGAAAAAATAGAATGGAAAAGTGTTCTTGCTCTAGCATTTTCATGATATACTACTTTTTTCTGTGTACTTCGTTTTTTGGTAGGGGAGCATTCAATTATGCAGGCCCCACATTCAGTCGGAAGTGGTATAAACCACACATTTACTACTGTTTGAAGGATCTAGGCACATGCTCTATATTAGACCTTTCCAATTCCAAAAGGAAGTGCTCAGGTGGCATTCATAATTAAAGTAAGTTACAATAATGTCAATAATCATCAAAAGAAAGCAAAGATACAAAGCAGCTATAGAAAAATAGCCCATAAAGCTAAGAAAAGTATTATTTTAAGCAACAGATAGTTAAAAGTGTGCTGAAAGGGTAATCTTTTAGCTGATGGCAGAACACTAAGATAAGGGAGAGCAATTAACGTCCAATGGCAGTGAATTCACTTTCTGGGTGCCACAACAGAAAAAGGCCCGTCATGTGCTCCCAACACCTGTATTTTAGAAAGTGGAAACACACAGAAGGGCCTCATCAGATTATTTTAGTGGATAGGCATATGTATGTATGCAGAGACAGTCCTAGATATCGCATCAGACAATCAAAGAAAATATACTGACCAGCACTTGCATCTGATACAGCTCTTGAAATGGCACTACTAGAGATAGCTCTGTTTCTATTCATGATTTCTTCAAATTCTGCTTCACTTAAAGGCGTCCTTGCAGCATCTATTTCCCTGCAAACACACACAAGTTCAAAACATTTACCTCCAGCGAGTTAGGGAAGTACAACTGTTTTAACAATTCTAGTATGCAATTTTAAGCAAAACAACAAATCAGAGGAAGCTTTTTCTAAACCAAGATATTTACAATGCAAAACCTGCAGGCTAGAGAGAAAAAGTACACTACCACAGCAGCAACAACTCTGTTATTAGTGTGAAATGTCAGATAATCTACTTATGTTCTGCTTTCCATCTTCAGAAAGCTCCAACAGATAGTTACAAATCTGTCAAGCATGTATATGTATCACTGAGGCAGAGAGATCTGTAGCCTGCTCAAATCAGTAAATGAGTCTTTCAAAGAGTTCTGTCCTCAACATATACTCTAATCTGAATAATGAATAAATGTTGCCAAGCATTAAGAATGCTCTGTTCTCTAAAGATATTCATGCTTTTAACATAAGCATAATGTGCCAGTAGTTAACTATTTACTTAACTGAAGTTAGTGACAGAAATATACTTATTCTGCTTATGCCCCCTTGAGCTCTGCAACATCTGCCAGTCTCTGCTTTAAACAGAACATCTGGAGAATGACAACAAGACTAGAGAAGGCCTTTCTCCTCCTACAGGCACCTCTACTATGCCTCAGGATGTACCACCCAACTTCCTCCTCCAGTTTCTTTGTGGCACACACTAATCTGGATAATGTAATATATTTGACTGAAGCTAGAAAGGAAGTCATGCCTTAGGATGAGATTTTAATCTTTGCTGGTGGTAACCAGTTGCTGTTCACCTGCTGATGGAAGACATCTGCCAGATGAATGGGAAGGAAATTAATTATCAGCCAGTCTTCAATTCCCCAACCCTCTGGAGCAGATGGGGAGGCAGCAGCTCTAAGGAGTGAGGAGGAATTGCCAAAAGTTGCCTCTCTCCCTGTTCTGCTGATGGATACCTCCGATCAGCAGGGGAACACCAACTGGACTATGTTCTCCATATTCCTTCCAGCACTATAAAATTATATGGCTTTACGTGCTTTTAAGAAATGTTTTCTTGCGAGTGTTAGTTCTTTTGGTAGAAAGAAAATGCAGAATGATAAGCAATGCTATCCTCTTAAGAGCAAGAAGTGGATCAAGATCCTATAGCTGATTTAGCGTAAGAGGAAATGTCTAAAAATTCATACCTCCCTGCGTTTTGAGTATTATTTTTCGTTTGTCTCCAATACAATGGCATATGTAATTGTTCTCTTATGGGCATGTTATTTCCAGTGAAACGCCTATGATATATAATTGACAATTTAAATATAGTTATGGACTGTAGTTGAGATCATCATGAAAATATTGGACATTATGTGCAGAGATTCTACTTCTGCTTTCAACCCCCTCAGCCCTCCCTTGTTTATTAGAGTATTATCTTGATATACAAAATATTAAAAAGTTTGGTTTTATAAACTATGGGTTCTCAGCATAGTCTTCCAAGTTATTATGCCAAATGCTCTAAATTTCTAAAAAGCTGAATAACATTTTAAATTTTAGACAGTAATTCCATGAACCAATTAACAAAGCTAGAAACAATGTTCTCAAGTAAAAGACTAGGAAGGTTATTTGACAAAAAAATTATCCCAACAAAGCCTCTGTTATATGCCACAACATGCAAGTAGATTCTTATATATCACAATCTATAAACGTCTAAAAATGTGGTATAACATGAACATAAGACAAACAGCAGCAAAGGGAAATTAGCAGCAAAGGGTAAGGCAACAGGAGTTTATTATGTAAGTCTGGAAAAGAAAAGGTGGATGTAGACAACTGATACAGCAGCTGACATAAGGTCATCATGGGATTTCTAAGCATTTCACCCATAATGATAACTCGCAAGTTGAGTGAAGACACAGAATTTAACTATCTCCTGAATAAAACTTGATCAACAATCGGGGTTCCTCTTTCAGTTAAAAAACAACTCAATGATTCCTCATATTGTCTGCCATCTGATATGGTTGTCTAAATCCATCAGAGTAGTCACACAAAGATTACTCTAGGTCACTGGAGTTGCAAGGAAGATGTAGGATAAGCAGAAAGTAAAGCAGGACATCTCAAGCTGACACACAGAGTGTTTTCTTATTAGAGACCAAAATTTGTTCATTTAAAAGAACATACATTTATATTAAACTTTACACTGTGATTTACTTTAAAGGAACTAAATTGCAACTTTCAGCTGGTGAAGAAAACTTGAGTAGCTGAACATTAAAAAGTTAATTATACATACACATACACACACACACACACACACACACACGTATGGGGAGCTTACAAATGTAGCATTTGTTTAAAGACATAAAAGAAGCCACCAATGAAAACAAAATAAAACAAATACTGTACATAGCTGATGGAAATGAGGAAGGTCTAAGTACTGTTTTTAAAACACTGGTTCTCAAACTGTGCGGTCACCCACACCCCTTGGGAGTTCACAAAACACCTGAAGGGGAGAATATAGGATTTGATCTGAAGCCTTCTTTCCTTTGTCAGTCAAGATATTGGTAGGTTAAATATCCTTTAGCAAAGGATACATTTTGCACTGGATTTGTGGGCATGATTTGGCAAAAGCTGCTGCTATGTTCCAATGATGCTTTCTTGGGGTGTAGCTTTAGGATGTACAATTATATAGTCATATCTTGGAAGCTGAACAGAATCCTTGGCAGTTGAACAGAATCCGTTCGACTTCCAAAATGTTCAGAAACCAAAGTGCAGCTTCTGAGTGGCTGCAGGAAACTCCTGCAGCCAATCGGAAGCCACGGAAAGCCTGTTGGATGTTCGGGTTCCAAAGAACGTTCGCAAACTGGAACACTCACTTCCGGGTTTGTGGCGTTTGGGAGCCAAAATGTCTGAGTACCAAGGCGTTTGGGATCCAAGGTGCGACTGTATATTGTTCTATTCTGCTTCCTAACGCCTGGGTTGGATCAGTTCTCCACTTCACAGATCTTTGCACACAGCAGCAAGCTATGTACACTGCAGCAATCAATTATCTCTATGCGGTCTGTTGTGAAACTGATGGTTTTTGGGACCCTAGAAAGCATGCATTCATAAGAGGGGAGCCAAGCTCAAAACGTTTAAGAAACACTGGTTTAATGTTATCCCCACATTTGAGAAACACTTTTCTGATGTAACCTTACTTCCTTGAAGGAAATCTAGCCTCCTTATTAAGACTCTTTAAGCGTTTTTAAAGAGGAATAAAGATGCTATCAATGAGGAAAGCAACTCACCTGCCTGGTGGACCATAATCACCTCTGTCATAAGGTGGAGGCCGGCCATATGGGTCTGAAGGTGGTGGACCACGGCTGTCTGATGTAGGTATGCCACTGTTGGCTGGCGGGGGGAAGAAAGCTGGATTCACGTGTGGAGCTGGTGGGGGAGCACCTGGTGGAGGCCCAGGTAAGTGAGGAGGAGGAGCCAATGTCAGGGGTGGCCCTAGCGGACCAGGTGGACGAGGGGGGAAAGGACCTGGAGGTGGAGGAGGGCCCTGTTGTGGGGGTGGAGGACCTGGTGGAGGACCATAGCCTGGAACTGGAGGTGGAGGGCCAGGGGGAAGAGGGCCCAGTGGAGGTTGACCAAAGGGTTGCCCTGGAAACAGAACTGGAGGAGGGGGCGGTCACCACGATTAGGGGGACCCGTTAGTGGAGGAGGTAGAACCTGGCCAGGTGGAGGAGGACCTGGAGGGCCTGGAGGACCTAGGGGTGGACGTGGAGGTGTCTGTCCAGCTAAATGGGAAGGAAGAAAGAAAGAATAATGCCTTCTACTACTTCTAGCAAAACCTTCTCCAAATTTACAGAAACATTTGTAAAGAGCATTGAGAAAGCTTACTGACATATGGATATGAATATAAAATATAACAAGAATCCACATGTTAACAAATAATCTGGCAATTCTCATGGTGGAAAGATAAGAGGTGAAATCTACCCCAGCTACCTGCATTCCACAACATGCAAATGCTAAAAGCTACCATCGGTTTCTAATGTTTTACAATAAAGCTTATAACTTTTGAGTATAGACTTAGAGGAGAGAGGGACTAATGAAAATGTCCAATATTGCAGCAACAATTATCAACAGAACTAACACTATACACTCATGGTTCTGTTTTATTATAGTGTTCTTTTATACTGTGTGTGTTTTAACTTGTGTGTTTTTTTATTCAATATAGAATGTATGTCAATATAAAACAATCCTACTGTCCAGAAACAAAGTGCAATAACTGGCAAGTCAGATTTCAGTATCTTCAACTATACAGAAAGGCAGCAATGTATAACGCAAAACATTTCACCTGGAAAAGGTGGTGGGGGTCCTCCTGGTCCAGCTGGTCCAGGAAATCTATCTCCTCCTGGAAGGGCGCCTGGAAAACGACCCCTCCCTCTGTTACTTGGTGGAAACGTTGCCCGTGAACTGCCTCCAGGAGGACCAGCTTTGCCTTCACCAGACATCTGGCCTGACTGTGTAGCTGAAAGAAGAAAACAAAAGTGTTCAATATACAACACTTGGCTTATTTTTATGCTGTTCTTAAATTTTATTATATTTATGCTTTCGTTTGCTAGTTTGAATAGGTCCAGGATTCACCAGTTACATGATGCTTTATCAATCTGATGTTTCAAATGTATAGGAACTCAAATTAGCTGGCATCATTCATGTTTTTATCACCAAAAAAATAAGTAGTACTAGAGAAAGTAAGATCCATGTCTTTCTACAATATTCTTTAAAAAGTCTACAGAACCTATAGTTTGAGCAGTGTTATTTCATTTCAGTAAACCAGGCCTTAGTCAGCAGATTCTCAGCACTTAATAGCCAAATACAAACATATCCACAATTGCGAAATGGTAATTTTTCCGTCCAAAACATGCTCTTTCACTTCACTATGAGTAGCTGGGAGCAACACTTACTTTTTCTGGACTGCAGCTCAAATTGACTCAGAAACTGCTTATTACAAGGAGTAACAACAGGATTTTGACCATGCAATTCTCGTTTAGGCAACAGATCCATTAGTTTTTTGGAAGATGCCTCAGATCCCACACCTACAAGAGCAAACCTGAAAAGAAATAGACGGGGGAATTATGTATGGTGGTGATGGGGCCCTGAGAAAGTGTCACTCAACTGAAATGTTTTACAATAATTTTAGAAGGAAGACTTAAGAGTCAGTTTTTTATTCAAGGATTACCTAATTCCCCCACCCCCATATAAGCAAACTGTAATAGGCTACCATACATTTCCTAATAATTTACTATTAGTAAGACACCCCAAACCTTCTAGCAGACCAGCTTTTATTTTTGTCTCTTAAGCCTGCTTTCATGCCGTACTCAGAACCAGTTGCTTCGCCAATTCCTTTTCTTGACCAACACAGTCTCAGCTTCCTTTATGGTCTGTCCAGTTAAACTCACTACTCCTCCCTTAAATCTTGTTGTAGTCCTGTCCCATCTTCTTAAGCTACATTCTCTCAAGCAAAAAAACAGTCGCCTGTACAGCCTGTCACACTGTAGAACAGAAATGGGAATGATGTTGAATTTAAACAAAATTCTTACCCCTTAGATTGGCCATTAGCTCGGTTTTCAAAAAATTTTATCTCCAAAATATCATTTACACCAAGTGAATGAACTGCTTCAGTTAAATCTTCATCTGTGGTCCACTGGAAAATATTTGTAATTGAAATCTCATTTCTGAACATAATAGCAAAAACAAAATAGAAGCAAAGCCACATCCAAAAAACCATTCATTATCACTTTTCCACTGCACCATTCAAGGGAACAGATAATACAGCAGACGCTAAGTGCATCTGATGCATACGATATAAGTTTTTTTTAAGCTAAGTTGGTTTGACTTTTTGTTTTCTAAAGTTACTGGAAAGATTCCTAATGCTCAGTGATATAATTCAGCAAATTATGTTCAAAATAAGCAAAGAATTTTCTAATTTACATAGACTTTAAGAAGCAATGATTACAAACTCAAAAGTCCACTTTACAGTCATTACCCATAGCAAAAGAGGAAGGGTCACAGCTCAGTGGTAGACAATAGGCATGCAAAACGTTCAGGTAGGACTGGGAAACATGTCTGTCTGAAGCCTCTGAGGGCTGCACCTAGTCCAGACAATAGTGAACTAGATAGGTCAATGGTCTGAGTTAATGCAGTTTCTTACAATTCCTATTGCAGCAACAACTAGCGGAACACTTACCCAAGTAAGATTCCCAATGTACAATGCAATTCTCTTTCCTGTATACGTGTAGACAACATTTGGTGCTGATCCTTTGCCTACATCATCTCCAACAGATGGTGGGAGAGAGTCCATATAATCACGATCCTCTGGAGCATCGCCGTTATTGGCAGATGGAGAGATTACGTCGTCATACAGATCTATTTGATCATGCCCACCATACTCAGCCTCCTAGAAGACAAAGGTCATTGAATGTCATACTTTTAGTTCATTTTTTCTGGAGAGGCTTGAATAGAACTTTATTTATTTAATGGTATTTATATACCATACCTTCATAATATTTATTCCAGAGTAGTATATATTACATTTTTTAAAAAAGTAAAATATTCAACAATTAAAAATACCAATTAAGAAATAATACAAGTAAAATATTAATTAACAAAGAGTGAAAACTTCATTTCCAGTGTTCAAAAAACATAGCACCTTGAAGCTAGAGGTAACTGAAGTCAACAAAACAGTACTACACCAAAAGAATTAAATCTATTAATCCAATGAATCTCCTACTCATCGCAATAACCAAGATAGCCTAATAGAATTGCTCAAAAAATTACACAGAATTCTAGAGTTTATAGTTCATTACACATGTCAAAGAGGCCATTGCATTAAAAGGTGTTAATTACTAAAGCACCACTGTTATCTTTTATTCATTTTTCACAGGCTCAATGTGGCTTACACCAATTTCATCAAAAATCTTTCTCTGGCCTCCAGAGGGCTCAATCTGAGAAACTTGTACAGTATCTAAGAGCCCAACTACACAGGATGACTTTTCCCTAAGTTTTCAGGGTTTTTACAAAGTAGCCAAAAGTAGCTTTAAACTTTGGTAGAAGACTTGAAGGGGTCATCCTCTGCCAATGGCTTGCTAACTCAGCGGAAAAGTACAGTGGACCCATTTTTTCTCCCAAATATATGAGGAAACAGCACGCACACACCCATCTACACCCATGCACACACCCCCTCCTCTTTCCATTATTGTCATGACTACTTTCTAATTTTTGGTGAACTGCAGTTTGCTAAGTGTGATGAGACAGATAACAAAGAGACCTATTATGTCTGCAATAGTGTAAACGAGAGGTGTAGATGCTACAACAGATGCAAATGTGTGCAGTGAACTTCAAAAACAATGTTCAATTTGCATTTCAATTTAGACAGCCAGATTACCTGATGATGACACATGAATACAGTATAGCATCTCACTGAGCAACAAATACACATACACCTCCTGCACAGATTTTTTGGGGGGTGGGGGAACAATTTATATGTACTTCCATAAAGAAAGCTATGTGACCCTTTCTTTACAGAATTAAAAACAGTGAGACCACAAAGTTGAGCTTTCTATGTGATGGCATCTACATCATGAAATGCTTTCCACACAATTTTTTTTGCTCGTCTCTCCTTGCTATGGTCCTCTGCCACCAAGTAAAACTGGCTTTTTCAAAGTGCATTTCTTGGTGCCTGAACGGATTAATTTTCAACTACTATATTGCTTTTAGTTAGCCAATGAAGTTTTAGCTGGCTGAGTTTGTACAGTTTTATTAATATTTTATGCATAATAGATATTGATTTAAATTGTGTACAACTTCAAGTGATTGACAGCACGGAATGTATTACCAAATTAAAAACAGAGAAATAGAATTGCAGTACTATACACTTCTAGAACTTCTAAAAGGGTGTTTCGTCTCCTCACATATAAACAGGTGTCATAAATTTACTATAAACATAAATTTATAAATTTTAAGAAGCAAAGCTATGTCCTCTCCAGCACATCATTTTTACATTTACTAAAGCGCTCCAGGAGTTTGAGAGCCAAGGTCAGGTATGAGGATCCAGAAGCCTTCACAAGTATTAGAAACTCCCCAATTCAGACATTTGCCCTCCAATTCACGAAGGACTTTAACCTGTGTACTGATGACACACTGGAGGAATCAGACTTTTCAGTGTCCTCTTGCTTCTCCTCACATTTGCTTCTACCTGAGGAGTCTGAACACATAAATAAGGCCAAGGACTCCAATCCAATGGAGTATGTCAGTTCCACAAGCTCAGAACACTAGTTCACCTACACTCCCTTCAGGTCTTCAGTACATATAGGAGGGGAAAGGAACAGGTGCACTTGCTCTATGACCCACCACCTGGGTTGTATGTTTCCATCACCAACTCCATGAGTTGGATAGTGATTGACTGATTCAGGGAGCCTCCTGTCCCCACAGAGGCTTCTTGCACATTTTAGAACTCTGGATTTTCCAGGGTTCTAAATAACACAGGAATCCTCAAGGAGGACAGGGGGCTCCCCACTTTGAACAGAGCAACTGGAATGCAAATAGGGGGCAGACCTAGCATATTCATCCATGTAGTGCCCCTCCCTTTACTAAACACAACTACAATACCTGTAATAACATGAAAAGATCAGCCTTTGAATGCAGATACTCAAGTTACTTTTCCCCTTTAGTACAATTAGTTTCACCAGTTAACCTTTTAAATCCATCGCCGCCAGAAACGAAAACTAAAGAGAGTTTGAAACACCATTGAAATATGGGAGAAAACAAAGAATATGCCTTTAAAAGAAGGCACAAGAACTACTCCAAAAGAAATAGCATAGAAATGAATTCTAGGAGCACTTCCTTGCCCAATGTGAGTCTTTTCAAAATCTCCACAATACTCTTTTGAGACTACATAAGAGAATAAGGACAAAAATGGGTGAACAGATGACAACGCAGAACGGTAGAAGCTAAACCAAAGCTTCCAGCATCAAATAGCATACTCAGTGAACTGTAATGCTTCTCTACACTGATTGGCAAAACAGTTACGAGACAGAAACAATTCTCTACTTTTTTGTCTTGCTGCCCCATTACTCATATAGACTTCACGGGAATAAAAGCCTCTGCCATTTTCTAAGCTTGTAAAAAACATACCCATAGAGCCTTCAACAACCTGTGCAAACCGAGCTATTAAATGTTGAAAACGCAACGTCTGCCGTCTCGTCGCGCGTGTTGATCAGGAAACGGAAAAGAGGCGCGAAGGGAGGCTGTGCTGCGAAGCACCTTTCGAGGGAAATGCTTCTCCTCTCCCTCGGCGCCCTGGACTTCTCGTAAGCCTCGTCTCCGGCGCAGCCTTCCCGAAGGAGGCTAAACATCTTGTCACGCCTCCCCGTCGCAGCCTCCTCCTGGGGGAAGCGGCTGCTGCCTGTGTCGGAGCCGCTGGGCTCCAGGTTCCCCCTCCTCCTCCTCCCGAGGGGGGAAAGTGGGCAACAACCAACAGCGCTGCAGGAGGCTCCGTCTCCGGGCTCATTGTTTTCCAGCGCCTGAGGCCACGCAGGGGAGGGAGAGGCGGCGGCGGCGCGCACTCAAAGCTAGGCCGCGCCCCCTCCCTCGGCCCTTCTCTTCTTCCACACGAACTCCCCCCCCCCCCGCGCGCGCCAGGCGGGAAAGCGGCAGAGGCCTCTCGGCGAGCGCCGCAGACAACAATGGCGGCGGCTTCCCTCCGCTGGGCCGAGGCCTGCAGCGAGCGCAGCCAGTCAGAGCCTCCCTCTCTCTCTCCCTCCCTCACAGCCCTGCCAGGCCTCCCCGCCGGCCTCCTCCTCGGCCCCCGGAGCTTCTCTACCTGGTTGAATTCCTCTCCCACATCGGCGTAGATATCTATGTGGTCCACGCCGTCCGCCATATTCCGCCTCCTCCTCCCCGCCTCCCCGCCGCGGCCGAAAGCCCCGCCCGGCTCTACAGCTGCCGCAGCCTGCCGCTGCCGCCGCCGCCACAGAGGAGGGGGCTTAGCGCAGGGAGCGACGTGAGGCGTCACTTCCGGACGCGAACCCGCGGAAACTTCCGGCAGGTAAACTGCGCACTAGCAGCGCGTCCCCCCTCGCTGCCACGCCCACTGCGGGGGCGGGGCCTGCTTGGGTCGTGAAAACCCCTTCAGAGCAAACGAGGGGCTATATTTCTCCAGTCTTCTGATTCGTCAGCGGTTGGGAGGCAGGTTCCTTAAAAACAAAGCGGGGGGGGGGGGCTCCTATACCGTGCCCAGTCGTGGAGCTGGAGTTGCCAATATATATATATATATATATATATATATATAACACCATACACACCACACACACACACACATATATATATATATATAATATTTTTACATATATATATAATATATATATAGTGTGTGTGTGTATGGTGTTGTATTATATACATATATATATATATATATATATATATATATTAATATATTATATTATATATTATATATTATATTTATATATATATATATTATATTAAAATATATATATTATATTATATATAAAATATATATATTAAAAATTAGGCAGACAGAAAAGTACTTCGAGTCAGACCGTTATATATAAATAAAAATTAAAAATTAGAAAAGTACTTCGAGTCAGACCGTTGGCCACCTTGCTCAGTAGACTCTGCAATGGCTTGCCGTTTGCAAACAGGAGTGTTTCACAGACCTTACCTGGAATGAACCCGGGACCTTCTGCTTGCGGAGCATGTGCTCTAGCAGCGAGCTGTTGGCCCTTCCCTTATTTCCCAGCTGGAGATTTGCTGGAGCAAATCGGAGGCAGTGATAAGAGCAGATCATGCAACGTTCGGAGGAGTCAGCTGCTGGATCAGACCTCCCTGTTGGCACACGGAAGAGAAAGAGAAGGCGCTTTTGCAGAAAACTCTCTTGCTTTCTTGTTCGAGAACTGCGGCTCCAGAGTGCCTTCGCTCCTGCTGCAAGTCCCATGCACAGGCAGCAGGAGGAACCAGGAGTGTGCGACAGGGACTGGCAGCAAGAGGGAGGGACAAACATGATGATGATCGGGGACATTTGAGATCCCACTGACAGAGGGAAGCCAGTGCTGCTGATAGGATTCAAAGGCCCACAAATACATATTAATGATATATTAAGCCTCTTGTCTCCGGAGGATATAGAAGAACAAACATTAGATCCCAGGGACTGTGTAAAGGGCATTTGTCCCATCCTTGTGTTACAATTCAGTACATGCATGTGTATGTACTGTATTTACTTCAATGTCTGCTTATAAATATAAAGGAAGCTAAAGGACAATGATCCATCTTCCTGTTTCTGGAGAAGGAGTGGAAGGACCCTGTGTTGTAAGTCTGCATTGTACCCAGAGAAATGATGCTGGGACCCTGGCTGGAGCAAAGAATTGTATCCAACAAAATCCTCCTGTTAGAAAAAAAGTACTTCAGCTTGTGCAACAAGATTTCCTCTCCCAGCATACCCTGTTTGGGGAGTTGCCCCATCACTCTGGAACAGATTGCAGGAGGCATGCAGAAAGAGGCAGTTCCATTGCACAAGTAGAAATCCCACCGCTAAGAGGATGACTTAATTGGGCACAACTCAGTGTGACATTACATGTTTACTTAGAGGTCCCATTCTCTGGTAGGGCTTAAGGTAAAGGTAAAGGGACCCCTGACCATTAAGTCCAGTCGTGGCCGACTCTGGGGTTGCGGCGCTCATCTCGCTTTATTGGCCGAGGGAGCCGGCATACAGCTTCCGGGTTATGTGGCCAGCATGACTAAGCCGCTTCTGGCGAACCAGAGCAGCACACGGAAACACTGTTTACCTTCCCGCTGGAGTGGTACCTATTTATCTACTTGCACTTTGACGTGCTTTCGAACTGCTAGGTTGGCAGGAACAGGGACCGAGCAACGGGAGCTCATCCCGTTGCAGGGATTCTAACCGCCGACCTTCTGATCAGCAAGTCCTAGGCTCTGTGGTTTAACCCAGAGTGCCACCCGCGTCCCTCTGATAGGGCTTACTCCCACATAAATGTGTATAGGATTCCATACTGGTAGCCCAGTCCTCTGTAGGCTTACTTGTAAAAAATAAGTCTCACCCCACCTGCCTGTCAAAGTGGAGGATTCTGGATCCAGCTCCCCAGCTCCCCACCGCTACTTTACCTTGTGCAGTGCACCACTTAAAATTAATCTCCATCTTTGCTAATATAAGGACTATAAGGCATACCTTTACTCATGCTCTGTCCCTGAGGCAGCAATCCTAATCCCACTTCTTTGGGAGTAAATTCCTTTCAATTCAACATGAATTACTTCTGAGTAGATATGGTTAGGACTGTGCTGTTGCACACAGGACCTGCTTGTTATTAGAGATAGATTCAACCAGCTGTTGACTTTTTCATCCATAGAATCAGTAGTTTCTTTTTCCAAATAGTTTTTGGTACAACCTGAATTTGTGTGTGTGTTAAGTACAGCCTTGTCTATCATAAGTAAGAAGCAGGCTCTGTTAAGAATTATAACTGTGTCTCAGATGGATTGTAGAAAAATCCAGAGACCATACATAGTTTAAAGAAATTGAAGGGAATGATTTAAAAAAAGAAAAACTCTGTAAAATGGTCATACACTGTTGCCACAGTAGATGTCACTAAAGCTAAAGTAACATTAACCAACTTCAAAACTAATACAGCATTACAATTCCTTCCTCCAGATCGTAAAGTATAAAATCTCCATTTCTGCCAGATTAGACCAGATGTCCATCTAGTCAGCATTCTACTCTCACAGTGGCCAACTAGATGCCTTTGGGAAACCCACAAACAGGATTTGAGCACAACAACACTCTCCCTCCTTGTTTCCCCCCAGTAACTTGTATTATAGCAGGCTTCCTCAACCTTGGCCCTCCAGATGTTTTGAGACTACAATTCCCATCATCCCTGGCCACTGGTCCTGCTAGCTAGGGATCATGGGAGTTGTAGGCCAAAAACATCTGGCGGGCCAAGGTTGAGGAAGCCTTTATTATAGGCATACTGCTTCCTACACTTTCAGTAATAGCCATTAATAGCTTCATCCTCTATATATTTATCTAATTCGCTTTTAAAGTTATACAAATTGGTAGTCATCACTGCATATTTTCTTCGCCTGTGGGGCAGAGCCTGCAAACATCAAGATCTGCAGGTCCAAAAAGGGCAAAACACAATAACTGGACCTCCATAATAATTAAATTAGGCTGCAGAGTTAATTTTGAGCCCCTTTGCAAGTTGTGTCTCCATGCAATTCCATGGAGTTTGAACTGCCAGAATGCTTCAGTTGTTACTTGTGTTAGCAACTTGGACAAGCTGTCCTAAAGTTAACACAGAAGTTCATTTAAGGTTAGCAGTTTAACAGGTTACATTAATTTATTTGGGCAAATATACAGGAGCTTTTGCTTACTCTATATTCCCTTCTTGTGGTACAATAAGCTATAATGAGTTTGTGGTAAACCATAAGACAATACTGTATTTCCAAGACTTGCTCAGTTTTCCAAAGGACAAAGAAAGACTCATTCTAAAACAGATGGCACTTGGGCCTCACCAAATGTATTGCTTTTAAGTTTGAACGCCAAGATGAAGTGTTCATGAAAACAACTGGCTGGTTTTGCGCATTGCTACATGGCAGTTGCTCTTCTTCTTGTTTCCAGCTTTTGGGATTTGTTATTTTGCACATACTCAGGCCAAAATGAAATATTCTGAAATATGAAATATTCAGTTGAATACACATACACTAATGGGGGGTGGAGGAAATTTGGACTGTCCCACACACTGATTTATTTTAAACAAAAATAGCTTTAAAAAAAGTTACAGATACATTACAAAAATGAGACAGATCAATATTAGACATGAATACACTTAAGCAAGAATAGCCAGCTGCACAAATATAAGATGGAGAACACCTAGCTTGGCCATAGTTTTGCATTCAGGGTGAACAACTTGGAGCATGCTATGCAGATGACAATGTACAATCTACAATGTACAATCTTGAAAGACCTAGGCTCCCAGTACGTTTCTGAGCACAATTCAAAGTGTTGGTGTTGACCTTTAAAGCCCTAAACGGCCTCGGCCCAGTATACCTGAAGGAGGTCCAGCGCCGAGGGCCTTCTGGCGGTTCCCTCATTGCGAGAAGCAAAGCTACAGGGAACCAGGCAGAGGGCTTTCTCGGTAGTGGCACCCGCCCTGTGGAACGCCCTCCCATCAGATGTCAAAGAGATAAACAACTACCTGACATTCAGAAGACATCTTAAGGCAGCCCTGTTCAGGGAAGTTTTTAATGTCTGACATCTTAGTGTATTTTTGGTCTTTCTGGAAGCCGCCCAGAGTGGCTGGGGAAACCCAGCCAGATGGGCGGGGTACAAATCATAAATTATTATTATTATATTATTATTACAATCTATTTCTGCCTGGCAGATATGAGGAATTACTAGCTGTGAATTAGTGTTGCCATGGACAGATGGAAATGTGAGAAAGCACAATGAGAAGGCCTTATATCACATCCCTGGAATCTCTAGTGAAGGGATATCAAGTAAAAGGGCTGGGAACTGGGAGAACCTTCTTGCTTGACAGCTACTGTCACAATTCACTTTCTGTTGTTTTTTTACTGGGCCAAATGTTTAATATAATTCTATAAATCTGCTCTCCTGCAAGCAAAAACAAAATGATTAGAATGTAAAACTTTATGCTGGATTCACAGTTATTTCTCAGCTTAATTCTTACACAGACTACAGTAAGGAATAACTTCTGCATGAACCAGAACCAATTGGCTAACTACCATATTCACTCTATAAGACGCACCAGACCACAAGACGCACCTAGTTTTTGGAGGAGGAAAACAAGAAAAAAAATATTCTGAATCTCAGAAGCCAGAACAGCAAGAGGGATCGCTGCGCAGTGAAAGCAGCAATCCCTCTTGCTGTTCTGGCTTCTGGAATAGCTGCGCAGCCTGCATTTGCTCCATAAGACGCACACACATTTCCACTTACTTTTTAGGAGGGAAAAAGGGAGTCTTATAGAGCAAAAAATACGGTAATTCTAGAAATGAAATGCTAGT